CAATACTGAATTGGAAACTTAAAAATTTTCTAAGAGGCAGATGTTAAATGTGCTTATCACATACAAAATAATTATAAGCCAGACATGACTTTAATCCCAACACTTGGAAGGCAGAGGCAGGCAGAACTCTGTGAGTTTAAGGCCAGACTGGTCTACATAGTGAGTTCTAAGGCAGCCAGGGCCACATAATGAGACCCTGTCTTAATAATTATTATTATTATTATAATAAAGAGAGCAGGAGGAAACTTTTGATGGTAATGATGTTTATTGCATTGACTATGGTAGACCTTTTGGGAGTATACAGTTATCTCCAAGTTTGATAAATTGTGGACATTATTATATCTTTGTATATGTTAATTTCACCTCAACAAAGTGATTTTTAAGTGAAAATTTTTGAAAGAAGGAAGTCCTTTTTAAAAGATTTTTTAAATGTTTATGTATTGAGTGTTTTGCTTGCATGTATAAGTGCACCACTTGTATGCAGTGCCCATGGAGGCCAGAAGAGGACATTGGACTCCCCTGGAACTATAGTTATAGACAGTTGTGAGCCACCTAACGTGGGTACTAGGTACTGAACCCAAGTCCTCTTCAAGAGCAGCAACTGCTCTTAACCACTCACTGAGCCATCTCTCCGTCCCAGTGAGGTGGTTCTTAACACTAAGAATTAAAGAAATGGCTAAATAGATCATTTGGGATGGAGAAATTAGAGGAAGTGATATTCCATCGAAGTTTCACTTAACATAGATCTAGAGGCAAATCTCATGAAGGGAAAGGAGATTCAAAATACATAAACAACAAGCTACTTCAAAATTTGAATGCAGGTTTGTTACATTGAGCAAGAAAGATGACTTTAATTTTCCAGCACAATTTGAAAACTTGCCATTCAATTATTAAATATTTTAAAACTTTTCAGTATGTTCCCTCTTGTACTCTTATAAACCTTTTATGAGTTAGGGGAAAATCTCAGTGTAGTGTTCATGAATAAATAAGCACAAAGTCTGGATAGATTCAAACTCAATGATCATAACCATTTTGTTTTGTCATTTGGCAAGAAGAAGAAACTTAACATGTAAACATCATTAAATTTGTGATGTTTTCTACTACAACCCCAAATTTCAAACTACAGAATTTGTATCTGTTTATGGTCTGTATTAAGGTAAAAGCCACAATCAAACTATCGACAAACTCCTGTTTCCTGCTGGCAAATGCAGACCAGCTCTCTGCTTGCCGCAGTAACTGGGGAGACAGACATGAAAAACTGAGAAGTGCCAGTGGTACATTCTCACCTCAACCAAAGACCAGTCACATCCAGTGGGCAGTTCACAGCCACCTGTGACTCCAGCTCCATGGGATCCAAGACCTCTGAACTCCTCAGGCATTTATACTCTCATGCACATACCCACACACGGATACACACAAAATTAAAAATAAAATAAATAGATCCGGGCGTGGTGGCACACGCCTTTAATCCCAGCACTTGGAAGGCAGAGACAGGCAGATCTCTTTGAGTTCAAGGTGAGCCTGGTCTACATAGTGAATTCCAGTTGAGACGGGGCTACAGAGAGACCCTGTCTCTAAAAATGTTTTTTTAAGTAGAAGGAAGTAAAGAATAGCTATTATGGGACTGGTGAAAATAAGGAGAACATAGGAAACTAAAATAAGGTAGAAGAAGGCAGGTGTAGGGCCCATAGTGACCAGAACCCATCTTAGTTACTTTCTCATTACTGCAATGAAACACTCTGACAAAGGGCTGGAGAGATGGCTCAGTGGTTGAGAGCACTGACTGCTCTTGCAAAGGACCTAGGTTCAGTTCCCAGCACCCACATGGTGGTTAACAACCATCTGTAACTTTAATGCCAGAAAACCCAATGCCCCCTCTGGCCTCTGCAGGCTCCTGCATACAAATGGTACACATAAACTCATGCAGGTGCAGGCACATGCACATGATAATTTTTTTTGAAAGACCTGACAAATGCAGTTTTTAAAAGGAAGGTTTATTTTATTTTGGCTTATATTTCCAAGAGAGTACGTTCATCATGGAGGGGAAAACATGGCAGCGGGCAGGGAAGGCATGGTGGTAGGAACAGGAGGCTGCCTGGTCACAGTGCATCTACACTCAAGAAGAAGACAGTTAACTGCAAGTAGGAATGGCTGTAAAACCTCAAGGTCTACCCACAGGGACACACTTTCTTCAATGAGGAACCTCCTAGGGTTCCACAAGCTTCATGTTCAAACAAGTGAGCCTATGGGGGATATCACACTCAAACCACAATGGAGTCTTATAAGGCTAAGAAGAGACAGTGACTGACTTTAGTTTTCAGCCACGCAGGTCAATAACCTCCGTATCAGTAAAGGAAGAAAAAGTGAATCTCAAGCAATTTTTAAAATATGGGACAGATAAAAAGCACAAGAAGGAGAAAACACAATATGATTTGGTAGGAATAAGTTAAAATATATTACCACAATAAATGAAAACATTAAAATGATCTTTTGAATTGCAAAGATCATAAAATAGATTTCAAAATATAATCTAGCTTTGTGTTTTATAAAAATAACTCATTGAAAATATTACACGAAACAACAAAGATTGGAGGTTGACACCTGGGTCACCTCCACTGGTCTCTGTGGAGGTAGGACTGTATGAAGCAGTCTACCTTTACAAACAGCTAGATCTGGAGCTGGGCATGACTTCCAATGTGGACAAAGTCTGGACTTTTACTCCACCTTGCCCCAGAAAGCTACTGTTTATAATGCAGACAAGCTCCCTGCACCATGTGCTCTTGTGACCTCAGCACCTGACCTTGATCCCTTGAGGCCCCACCTTGCCCTCCACCTAAGCTAGTGGATGAAGGTAGGTGTGCTTGTTCAGCATGTTCATATTTGTATTCCCATTGGAAACAGCTTGACATTGTGTGTATGAGATATTTTAGGCCTAGGGAGCAAAGGGCAAGATTCTCCATAAGATAAGGGTGGATCCAAGCTTGTAGTTCCCCAATTCATGCTGGAGAAACTGTTAGATTAAAAGTATGGGGAGACCTGGCTTGGGAATATAGTTCCCTGAGAGATCTAAAGGAAGTAACTCTCAGAGTTCAGATCTACTCTTGGCTATTAAAACTAACACTTGGATAGGACTCCTGTATTAAACTTCACCCACCTGGGGTTCAGGAACCATTGTGGAAGAGGAGGCAGAAAGATTGTAAGAGAGAGGGAGGAGGTACATGAGTCCTCCAAGCTCCTGGGAACCTGCTCATATGATTTCATGGCTATGGTATCAGCATACAGAAGTCCCATGCAAACTCAGGCAGACAAAAACCCAGCATAGAACTGGGAAAATGAATAGCAGACCCCAATCTTAGCTGAAGAAACATTGGCAACTGGGTGAGGAAGAGCTGATCTTCCTAAAACAAGGGACTTTAGATAGGCTGACTAGACCTCAGTGGATAAACTTGCGCTGGGGAACATCTGGAGACACTGACTTGACACAGTGGGCCTTAACACAGATGACAGAACATATGGGTTCCAGTGGGGAGGGGGCTATGGGAGGGTGCTGGTGGGGATGGAGGTATAAGGATGATTAAGATTGTTTGAGAAATACACAAAAATTCAATAAAAACAAATTTTAAAAAACCAACACTGAGTCAATCTGATTCTTTTTTTTTTTTTTCTTAAGACAGGGTCCCCCATAGCTCCAGCCAGCCTGGAACTCACCATGTAAAACCAGGCTGGCCTCAGTCTCACAGAGATTCACCTGCCTCTGCCTCAGGCTGATTCTTTATTCAGGTACAACTGTAATGTGGCATAGAAATGCTGCAGTAGCTGAGTTGGTAGAGCACTGGCCTAGCATGCACAGAGGCTTGGCTTTCATCCCCAGCACTGCATAAATCAGGTGTGGTGGTTCATGCCTGTAATTTCAGCATTTGGGAGAAAGAGGCAAGAGGATCAGAAGTTGAAGGCTATCCTCAGTAAAAGCCTAGCCTGGGTTACATGAGACACTGTCTCAAAATACAAACAAGCAAACAACAACAAAAACCCAACAATCAACCAAATCACAAACAGCAGATCTTCATACAAAAGATTCATGTATATTGACTCTTTTACTAAAAACAAGGTTTTTTGCCAGTGCTCCTGTGTTAACATCTTCAGTTTCTCGAGAACAGAAGTATTGTTAATTTTTCGGCATTTAAAGGAATGACTCTGGACAAATAGCACCTTTTGGTTTTTATACACCAATCTGAAAATGATGCCAAGATTCACTTACTGCCTGCACCCTCTGGAGAATAATTCAAAGTGTATGAGCTCATTCTATCCTAGTCCTAATGAACTAGAGTGGCAAACCAATCAGTAAAACAGTATTGGCTGCACTAAGCATAATTACAAATCATTTCTTAGAGGGGCTCATAAAAATCTACAAAAGGATTTTGTTATGTTAGAGGTCTTAAGCAAGGAAACTAAATATAGTGCCACAAGTTCGTTTGCTAATGTAAAATATTAAAGTGTTTCTTTCAATGTTCTGTGCATCTACATTGTATTGCCATTAGACTTTTTGTTTACTATGAATGCTACTATAATTAGGTGTTACATCGTGCATTTAAAAAACTCATGCTATCCATTAAGCTTATTAAAATGTTAAGCTGAGAAATTACTCATCTCTCTCATAAAATGTGAGTAAAATATAAATAGATATATAACCTTTTCTCATCACAAAGAAAAGATAAATGGTACAGAAGACAGTCCATCAATAAGGTCCCACAAATATGGGGATTTAGTGTGCGATTAGTGGGGGATCCAGATTCTCCAGTAAGTCATATTCAGACAACACACAAATAAATTTTACCTGAAGTAAAACTTGATGATAATGTTTCCATAGGTACCAGAAGAAAGCAGATCATTACATGTAATCTTGGAGTAAAGATGGTCTTTCTTAGTGTACTATAGAAACAGGATTAAACACAAGAAAGCCTCAACTATAAAAAGAAAAAACAGTTTAAGAACTGTCTGATCATGCTGATCTCTCTTCAGTGCATATAAATCTTTCACCTTTCACTAACAATTCCATGGAGAGGAACAACTATGGCTCTTAAACCAATTTTTTAAGGCCTTGAAATAGCGGGGATAATAACTATTTTTAAAGATAGACTGATAAAAATAGTCCAGCATTTGTAACCCAGGCTCCCAGGAAAAAAAAGAAAAAAACAGAGGGTGATATGAACAGCGAGCTAGAAACCCTAAGGAATGATGAAAAGGGAATGCTGGGCATTACAAACCGCTAACTGAGGAGCTGGGGACATGGCTCACTACACAGCATGCACAAGGCCTGGGTTCAGTCCCAACATCCCATAAAACTAGGTATGGTGATGCACACCTGTAATCACAGCACTTGGGAGGCGGAGTCAGGAGGATCAAGAGTTCAAGGTCAAACTTGGAGCCAGCCTGGACTACATGTAATCCTGTCTCTAAAGAAAAAGAAGGAAAAAAGGGAGGAAGGGAAGGGAAGGGAAGGGAGAGGGAGAGGGAGAGGGAGAGGGAGGGGAGGGGAAGAGGGAGGGGGGACCTGTTCCAATGCCTACAGGACTTAGAAGAGCAGGAGATACCAAGAGAGGGAGGGAGGGAGGAAGTGGGAGAGGGAGAGAGAGAGAGAGGGAGAGGGAGAGGGAAAGAGAGGGGGAAGGGAAAGAAAAGAATGAATGAAAGAAAAGAAGGAAAGAAAGGCTAATAGAAACTTTAAGAACGAATTAAAAGGAAATGTAGAAATTAAAACACTAAATTGATCATTGATCATGAAGCCGTTTCAATAAAAACTTTCCAAACTGAGAAACAAAGAGAGAAATGAACAAATAAAATGGAACGAGGTACCCAGGAACTGTGAGCAGTTCCAGGCAGCACAGCCTACACGGCTGCCAGAAAGAGAGGAAAGACAGAAAGAGAAGAGGATTGGAAGTGACAATGGCTGGGAATTTCCTGAAATTCATGTCAATCATCAAAGCGCAGATCCAGGAAGCTGAGAACACCGGAAAGATGAACCAAATAGCTACACTGTGTGGACCAAAACCAGGAAAAATGAAAGAGAAAGACCTTTTCCCTCCAGTACTATGGATTGAACCAGGCCTTGCACATGCCAGACAGGCACTCTGCAACTGAGCTACATCCCCATCCTGTTGGGGTTATTTTGTCCACCCATGTCTCTGATACAGTGTTCTGAGAAGTTGGAGAAATCAGATATCATTAACTGTGAGTTTGAGCCATAAAAGTGGCTCTCAGATAGGGAGCCATTAAGCAGTTTTATACTGAGTCCATGTTTTCTCTTCTATTTTTGAATTGGAGCATAGCAGCTCATAATTGAGAGATAGAACTTCCAGTGTGAAGGGGAAACAAGGCAACAGGTTACAATCACTCCCAGGTAGCATTCTCCTGGGAGTGGTAACTGATCGAATGATGAGCATTTCATTAAAGTTCCAGCAGGTAACCAAGAGCATTTCCATTCATTGAGTTGGTCATTCATTCATTCATCCATTCATCTTCATTCATTCATTCTCCATCCATTCATCTTCATTCATTCACTCGTCCATTCATCCATCCATCATCCATCCATTCATTCATCCATCTTCATTCATTCTTTCCTTCCAATACCATACACTCGTAGTGCGAGAGAAACAAAACTGAACAAGCCATGTGCTTGCCTTACAGAACCTGTGTTCCAAAGAGGAAGAGTAACACAAAAGCTAACTGATGAAGTATGATGGACATCACAAGGACTGAAAGAACAAAAGCTGTGAGCCAGAAGACCAAGGGAAACATCTGTGGAGGTCTACTGCTCCTGTACCTGGGATGACAGCCAGCGTCACAGCTGCAGAGCTGTGGTTAGACCACCGCAGCAACAGCCAGAGAGCAAGAAGTCAGTGTGGGAACAGCAGTGTTGTGGTTAGCAGGTGCTGAAGCACGTGTAAAGGAGATGAAGCCACAGCTGGGCGTGAGAGGGAAACACCCATCAAATCCAAGAAGAAATAACGTGAGCAGGCAATGTTGCTTCATTGATTTGGGATCACCTTCAAATTCTCAGGATCTAAAGTCTTTCCCCACAGTTTTGTCAGGTCACACTTACCTGAGCCATAGCTCTGATGTGGAAAAGGAACTCTTGAGAATCAAAAGTTTGGAAGTAAAAGTTGAACCACTGTAAGGAAGTAGCTGGAGTTTTTTTAATATATTTTATTTATTATTTTTATTTTATGTGTATGAGTGTATTGCCTGCATGTATGTGAGTGCACCTGTGTTGTGCAATGCTGCAGAGGTCAGAAGAGGGCTTTGGATTCCCCTGGAACTGGAGTTAAGGACGGTTCATATCCGCCATGTGGGTGCTGGGAATTGAACCTGGGTTCTCTGCAAGGGCAGTCAGTGCTCTTAACCGCTGAGCCATCTCTCCAACCTCGTAGCTGGAGTTTTGGTTGGCACTTTGTTAACACTACCTCACACTTATTTCCTTAAAAACATGCAACTGGAGGGGTCTGGGGAGATGGCTCAGTCAATAACGTTCTGAGGGTCTGCTCAGATTCAGTTAGAGACCCTGTCTCAGAAAAATACAGTGGAGACCAATCAAGAAAATCACCTGATACTGTGTACACACATGCATGATCACTCATATTCATATCACATACACAAAGTGTAACACCCCATTTATTTATTCATTTGTTAATTAAATGCATATTGAGAACCTATGGTAGGCTAAATATGGAGGTCCATATAGATGGCCAGATTCTAGTAACCACTATGTGGGATTTCACTCTTAATGAGAAGTCCATACTCAATAGCAACACAAGGCACCATGTGTGTAGGACATATATGGGAAACAGCGGGTGAACCAACCACTCTGCCCAAGAAAGATGCACGATAGAGGATGCCTTTATCTTGGTTATAAAACATGGGTAGTGGTTTTCTAATGTAGAGGGTGGCAAAGAACTTTCCAAAACAAGGACAGGGCTTCAGCCACATCCTGAAGGGGCTAATAATTTTCATGTAGTATTCTAGAAAGGGGCCAGCATTAGGCAAGGACAAATGTGTCAGTTGTTCTGGAAAGGGATTTCAACTGTCCCACAGAAGAGAGGAAATAGTTAACCACATGAAAAGCTTTGGCATCTCCCACATTGTAGGTTCAGAGGCAGAAGGGCTGCCCCAGCTACCTTCAGTGAGCCTCTACCTGTTGACTCTTCATCTATCATTTCTATGACAAGGTAGTGAAGCAAGCAAAACCCATAGAAAGCCCCCCTCTGGCCCCTTTGCTTTCCTTCCTTCCCTCCCAAGCATGTGTCTGTCTCCAGCCTACTTTCTAGGTCCTATTCTGTGGTCCAATAGAGGCAGCTGGCTGTAGAACCACTTTCTCTTGACTGTCTTTGCTTCTGGCTAAAATGAATCTGATCAGCACATTACAAACGCAGTGGTTTTGCCACGCTATGTCTCAAGTAAATATATCTGAATCTTAGCAGAAATTTTCAGTGGTTTCCACAAAATTTTGGGTCTGGTAATTGCAGCATTTCTAAGCTGCATTACAGTTATACCTAATAAATAATCAGCCTGACTCTTAGCAATAGTTTTAAGACCGAGAGTGGACCCGAACTCTGAGCACCCATTCCTTCTGATGGTCTCACAGAACTGTGCTCTCAAGCCAGGTTTCACTCATACTTTTATTCAAATAGTCTCTCCAGTAATAGCTTGGGAAGTAGAAGCTGGGAGCCACCCTCCTCTCATCAGAGAATTTTGTTATTTTAAGCCTAGGTTTAAAATATGTCTCACACAGAATAGCAACTTTTCTCACTGTTTTCAAGAAGAACAAATGCACACCAGCATGCTGCTTCGAGCGCTTTGATATGCAAATCAAGCACCCCATATTTATCCACTATCTTGAATGGAAGGTAAAGCGGGTCCTAAAGGATTAATGTCAAGTGCCCAGGTCATAAGAGCATGTGGTTCAATGAACTTGTTTACATTATAAACAGCAGTTTTTGGGTTCAAGGTTAAGTAAAAGTCATTAGTCCAGATTCTGTCCATATGGTAAAGGTGTTCCTACAAGTAATTACATGCATGCTTGTTTGTGTATGTGGATGTGCAGGTGTTTGGAGGAAAGGGGCGGGGGCAGATGCTTCTTGGTCTGAATCTATCATCTGGTGTATTAGTTATTTTACTGTTGCTGCAATAAAGCACCACGACCACAGCAACTTATAGAAGAGTTTATTCTGGCTTACAGTTTCAGAGGGAGAGTCATAATGGTGAGAGCAGCATGGCAGAGAGCTGAGAGCTCAGGAAGGAAGGGAAGAAGGAACCGGAAGTAGGACCAGGATATGAGCTCTTCAAGCTGCCCCCAGTGACATACTCCAGCTAGGCTGCTGCACCTCCTAAATCTTCACAATGAAATGGGGACCAAGTATTCAAATACGTGGGCCTAAGGGGGGCATTGCTCATTCAAATAACCACACCTGGATTCACAGGCTGCAGTGTGTACCTCTTCTAACCTCTGCCATCTTACCGGCTACTGTGACTGTGGTCCAGCCACCTCTAGTCTGTCCAGTGGTAGATAGGTGTGCTCGAATGGGGCTTCAGTGTACAAGATTCATGGGTTTGAAATACCTATGATAGGCTCTATTAAAGATATAGCAAAGAGGGAGCTGGGGAGATGGCTCAGCAGTTAAGAGAACTGGCTGCTCTTGCAGAGGACCCAGGTGTGGTTCCCAGCACCCACTGGCAGCTAACAACCATCATTAACTCCAGTTCCAGGGGATCTGATACCCTCTTCTGGCCTCTAAGGGCATTGCATGCACAGGTGCTCTTACATACATGCAGGCAAATACACATATAAAATAAAAATAAGTAAAAAATCCTCCTGTGTTTAAGAAAGTTTTTTTTTTTTTTTAAAGATGTAATAAAGAGCTGGGGATGAGTCAGTGAGTAAAGTGCTTACTGTGAAAGCATGAGGACCTGAGTTTGGATCACCAGCTCCCACGTAAAAGCTGGGTTCAGTAGCGCATACCTGTAACCCCAGTGATGTGGTACAGTGACAGGAGGATCTTGGAGGCTGTTGGTCTGCCTGTCTATCTAAAATAGTGAGCCCTAAGTTCAGTAAGAGAGAGAC